GATTGAAAAATGATAGGATTGTCATTTTAAATTTAAAAATTTAAATGATGGGTTTGTATGTACGCAAATGTCTCTTTCTGTTTGTTCCCTCTTTCTCTCTTCCCTTCCCCTTTCTCTCTTGCTATCGACCGAATCGCGCCAACAATTGCCACTGCCCAGCCGCGGCAGCGCCTCCCCCAACCCTCGCAGCCGCCGCCATCTTCTTCTTCTTTATCTATCTCTTCCTCACTCTCTTCTTTTTTCTCCAAATAGTTGACCATCAATTGCTCAGATCTTTGCCAAAAACTGTCGTTCTTCTGCTAACCCAAGACCCGCCGCGAACCACTACTTTCGCCCAATTGACCCACCGCGAATCCAAGTTTATTTCGGCATTTTCTGATCTGATATTTTGATGTTTTTTTCTATTTGGATATTAGTTTAAATCAGTTGTGTATATGAAAACATGTTTAGAGTGTTTTTATGTGGCAATTTCTGAATAATACTCATAATGTTTGATAGTACAGTAACATGCTAAACACAATACAGGAGATGCTTGTTCGTATTAAATAAAATGTTTAGTTCAAAATATGTAAATGCTTATTCATCTTTTTTTTTCTATTTGTGTTAATAGGTTTTGGAAAGTATATTTAGAATTTATTTTTTGTGGCATTTTCTGAATAACATTTATAATATTTGATAATACAAACATGCTATATACAATAAGCAAATATGGTTATTGATATTCAGTAAAATGCTTAGTTTAGTATATGTAAATGCTTATTATACGATGCTTATAATATTTTGCAATTAAATCATATGCACAAATACTGATATTTTGTTGGCATTGTTTCCCTTAGTGCTAGAGCCATATTCAAATTTTGATTCGTAAAAATAATTTTTGGTGAACAACCACCCATGCACTTCAAAAATATATTGAAAACCCACTTCAACAAATCTTATGTTTTTTCATACAACAATGTTGCCATAAATATAGATATTTTGCGGTTATTATTAAATCCCACGAAACACCTAATATTGTAGTATTTTTACAATCCAATATATGAAAATAACTAACGAGATACTTACGAGATGTTGTGTATATTGTATCAAGATGTTGATTTATAGAAGATGAAATATTGGATAATGGAAGATGAAATGTTGACCACCAAAGTATTGTATTTGATGCGGATCGTTTTTTATAATAGATAATTGATTTTGCTTGTCTCCATTAATTTTGTTGGAAGAGTCTTACGCATTTTTCTACGTTAGGAGAGGAAGGAAAATACAGGTCTAAGTTAATTATAAAAGTTAAAAAAATTTAAAATTACTATTAAAACCCTGTATTAATACAAGTCTTAGAATTAAAAATTATAATTTAATGGTTAATATTGATTTGGCATCAGTGAACTTTATAATTCAGCATCTAATCACATCCTATAATATTAATTTTATATCCTATGAAAGAGAAATGTTCTTTTTATTTACCAATAATATATATTATTTATTTTATTAAAATATTGTATTAAATTTTTAAACAGAAATTCAATCTTTTGTTTTTTGAAAATGCACAGAAAAAAAATAATAATTTGATTAATATTTGAAATTTATTGATTTATAGTTTGGACAGGAAGTGGTGGCTATAAATGATAATAGAATTGAAAAGGAATTTCTTTTAAAGAAAACACATGCACAAGTGCTCTCCCACTTCCAGATGATGCCTCTTTTTCCATTATAATTTACAAATATAATATTATTATATCTAAATAAAGAAAAAAATAATAATATATAGATGTAAATATATATATATAGTCCATTATAATTTACGAATATAATATTATTATATCTAAATAAAGAAAAGAAATAATATATAGATATAAATATATCTACATATAGTTCATTATAATTTACAAATATAATATTATTATATCTAAATAAAGAAAAGAAATATATATATATAATAGAATAGCAGCACATTCTCCCCACTAACAAAATATAATGCACTTAATCCCACTTAGCTGGTTTATCGGTGTGAGATTGAACTCGACTATTAAATTGTGAGTTCGAATTTCTTTGAAAAAGTTTATAAAAATTAAATATTTGATATGAATACGGAGCACAACAATATTTAATTATAACATTTTTAATTTAATATTTTTAATATATATATATATATATAAATTGAACCTCGAATCTCATTACTTAAATTCGCTCTTACCCTATCTCTAATGGAGTATATTATTATTACTCTCTCAACATATCCATCCTTCCAATTATGTCTGTTCAATTTATTTTGTTATTTTTTTTAAAAAAAAATTATATATTTTTATTTTATTTTAAATTTTTTAATTTATATCTTTTTTTAGTTTTAATTAAATTAATTAGTTATTTTAATTTTAATTTATAATTATTTTTTTATTATTTTAAATTATTTTTATTAATTAATTATTTATAGCCGACATCAAAAGATTATTTCATTTTAATGAAATAGATGGTCAATGTCTTAGTACCCGACATATTTTGACAAAACAAATTGATACGAAGTTGCGTGCATATGAACAAAAGCACCACTCAGACTGCTCTCTGCAATCAGTTCCAGTGTTCTCTTCTATTACTATTATTTTTATTCTAATATAATTAAAATTTATTAATTTTGATCTCAATATAAAAAATTATCAATTTTATTCTTAATATAAACAATTTCAATCAATTTTAGTCTTAATTTTCAATCAATTTTGGTCTCACCGTTAAAAAACTAACGGAAATTGCTGAATACACGGTCATGTTGTTACATGATCGTATATATTTCAGTGTATAATTATACATGATCATGTTGTTACACAATTATGTACAATTATATACGACTATATTGTTACATGACCATGTTGTTACACAGCCATGTAAAATTCTACACTGCCGTATATCTTTCTGTTTCGGTCTAAATTTTTTTTTTTTTTTTGTTATATTTTTATTTTTATTTTTAATTTAGAATAATTGATATAGTTAAAATGGAAAAAAAAAATCAATAATAATCATAATATAATTAAAATGTATCAATTTTAGTTCAAATATAAATATGTATCGAGTATGTTCTTTTGGAATATTTTGTCTAAAATTCTACTATTTAGCAAAAAAAATTCTCTTATAAACATCCAATTACTTATTGAAATAATAAATAATATTTTAATACTACTATAATATACAAAATTAAAAAATAGTTGTGTAATTGGATGTTTGAAAGAAGAAATTTTTTTATGAATAATAAAATTTTAAACAAAACCTTTCAAAAGATTATATCTTATAAATTTTTATATTTGAATTAAAATTGATAAATTTTAATTATATTATAATTACTATTGTTTTTGTTCATTTTAACTATATCAACTATTTTAAATTCAAAATAATTTTTTTAAAAAAAATATAACAAAAAAATAAAATTTAAACTAAAATAGAAATGTACCCGTGTATAATTTTATATGGTCGTACAACATGATCATGTATAATTATACACTAAAATATATATGATCATGTAACAACATGGCCATGTACTTTCCAGGTCAACTGCCACGTCACGTCCGTCATGTCCACGTCAGTAATTTCCGTTCGTTTTTTCAAACGGTGAAACTAAAATTAATTGAAATTGTTTATAATGGGACCAAACTTGATTGAAATTATTTATATTGGGACTAAAATTGATGAGTTTTTTATATTGAGACCAAATTGATTTTTTGCCTTATTATTATTATTATTATTATTATCATTATTATTAAACAATGCAATTAATACTCACCTGTGATCAAAATATATTTTTCATTTTTTTATTGTTATTTAATTTTATTCTATTTTTTTATGTAAAAACAATACTTCATTTGTCGCATTGAAATGTTATTATTTTTTAATTTAATAATTAATTGTACTACTTATTTAACCTAATAAATATCATTTCAACTTAACTTACAGTATATTACATAAATATCATTATTTTTATATTACACTATACTAATAGAGGTATTTGTCTTTTTTTACTACAATCAAATATAATACTAATATTCAAAAATTTACGTGCAAAAAGTAAACGCCACCTTTCCAACTAGACAAGAAAAATACTATTTTTTATTTTTTTATTTATTTTTATTTTATCTATTTTTATTAAAATATGGGCTGGTCAAATGAGAATATATATATATATATATTTTTATAACGGACGGAGTAATAAAACAGTATATATTTATAGAAGTAAAAATGTTATTTTAATTTTTTATTTAAATAACATATGATTGTTTTATAAAAAGTTAAAATTATATAAAGAATAATATTAATTTTAATTTAAAATGATAAAAAAATTATTGAAATGTAAATGAAAAATTTAGCTAATGGAGAAGAAGATAGTTATCAATCATAAAAATATTTCTTAAAAACAAACTATTAAATTATATTTATATATATTAATATTAATTATTTAAACTAAAAAAATCTTATTAAATATTCAAATTTGAAATTCAAACTCGCTGTAATTACTTGTGCCTTTACCTAGTTGCTTGCAACCTAGGATACCCTTCTTTCTCCCCTCTTTTAAATCCCACTCCGATTCTGATTCTCGTTTTATTTATTTATTTTTATTTATTTTCCATTGAAACAAAATTTGCCTTCTCCCTATTTCCCTATATATATATATATATTTTAAAGTTCAAATAGTAAAATATTTTAAAAACTTTGCCAAAGAAACATACTTTCTAACTTGTACTGTAACAAATGGTTTTTAAGTTCTTTCACATTTTTTATACATATAGTATTCTAGAGCTTCAATCTTGACCATCAGATCAAATCAATTTTACCCTAAAGTTAAGGCAGATTTCAAGGGTGGTGGGGTGGGGTGGGTTATCTTCTTCACATAAATAATCAATCGGGGTTTTAATTTTCTTTCTATTATTATATAGTGCTTGCTGTATCAGCAGCCTCAGGCATGCATTGGTGCCATTCTTGAATCATTTGTACCAACACCAATAGTGAATCAATCATCCAAATTATAATAATAATAAAACTCTTACTTCTCTGCCCCTACTTTTCATGTGACACATACATCAAATTTGCTGTCATTTTAGACCAATGTGAATAAAGCCCAGCAATATCATCTCCTCCCTCCTGTCGTGTCGATTGATTTTTTCACATAATATTTAATGCTTGTTATATTGGACTAAATCCATGGGGATCATTGTGCAATTTTTATTTTTAATTGAAAAAACATTGGAATTTTTTTTATCCCTCGTTTAAAATTTTGAAATTACCAAAGGGCTGAATTTACACATGACAGAGCGTTTCGTTTCTGCGATTGGAGTTGTGCCGTACAGTTTCTGATTGATCTCTCTCAATTCCGCCCACAAAATTTGGCACCCCAAAAATTTTCTACTCTCTTAATTTTCCATTTTCACCCACCCCTGACGTTCACGCCGTTAGCTCTAACTCTCCATTGCGTCGTTAAAATCGCCGTTTAAGTGATGGCCGCCGGCGATATCACCGTCGTCGTCGGCCCATCTGTCGACGGGCGAACACTCCGCCTTGTGGCGGAGCTTCCAATCCAGCGCCTGACAGGCACGTGAGCAGTAGTTCACAGCACCGCAGACCGAACACCGGCGGAACTCGTGCCGCCGCGTCTCCGGCCGGCCACAGCCGGCGTGGGAGCACAATCGGGGGCCCTGACCGGAACCATCGCCGGCGCGAGATGAGAACCAGTCGGTGAGGAATTGATTGGCCGGGTGAGGCGTCGGCGAGGGAACATTACAGCCGAAGTCGCTCAGCAGCGGGCAGACGCCGTCGGCGGAGGCGGCGCGCTGGGGGTTCCCGGTCAGCCACGACGGCGGCGGCACCATCGCCAGCGGGCAGGAGAGGAGCACGGCGGCGAGCTCGCGCGCGTTGGCTTGTATTAAGAGGCGTCGGCCCTCGGCGATGTTCCGCTTCACTCCATAGCCGTCCTGCAGACAGTGACCGAGCTCGCGGAGGGCGTCGATGTGGCCGAGGAAGGCGGCGCGTGCGCAGAGCGCTACACCGGCGCGTAAATCCTTGTCGTTTTTGGTGCCTCCGCTGCCGTTGAACTGAATCACGGCGAGTGAGTAGAGCGCCGACGGATGGGATCCAATAGCGGCCTTCGCCATTAACGACGCTCCACTAGCTCGATTTTGAAAGCAGTAGAACCGAATCTGCTCGAGAAATCAAAAGTCGGAATAAATCCCAGAGATCGATAATTTCCACCCACCCTAGGCAGATGTTTCCAAGAGCCTATCACATTGGAACAGACGATTCGAGAAGATGTTTGGAAATACTAACCATGCCTAGAGTATAGGAGGCTTCGGCATTTCCGGCGTCGGCGCAGAGTTTGAGGAACCGGTGAGCGGATTCCGACCAGTTTTTGGCTTTAACTGCTACCATTTTTCGAGACGCTTTGGATAGAACCAGCGAGTTGAGACCTAATCCGTTGAGTCTTTTGCACCTGTTCAACCAAAACACATCTTCAGATTCAGAGAAATACAAACTTGGAGATCGATAAACCAACTAAAAAGTCCAGAAATTCAATTTTTTCAACATCAATTGCCTTAGATAATCTCTTAGGCCATAAGTTTAGGCAAACAAAAACATTTTCCAAATCATGAAAACGTATCAGAACTCCGAAATCGAGAACAAACGAGAAAGACAGAGCTCTTACTTATCATCAAGTCATTCAACGAAAAAGGAAAAGGAAAAGGAAAAGTAAAAATCTCGCGAAGCATTCTTCAAACAGAACTAAGAACAAATATCACAAAAAAAAAAAGCAACAAAAAAAAGCCATACGTTATCAGAACATTAACGAAATCCGCCGGACACTGGGCAGAGGAGCTGAGCTTGCCGAGAATACACAGAACCAGATCATCCGGCAACGCATCGAAAAATTCATTTCCTCCGTCTATCTCCTCCGAAACATCCAAAAGTTTCCGGCAACGCATTTTCTCCCCGGCGACGCTCTCCAGTTTCCTTCTCTTCACGAGGCGGTTACAGTTCTCATCCACACGAATATCCATCACTCTCGGATAATACAATCCCCTCCTCGTCCTCATCACAATACACAAATATATATAGATATATATATATATACGTACGCACCACCACAGCTGTGCCTAGCGCACCGTTGGCGTGATTCTTCTTGCTTTTCTCGCTGTGTATCTGCTCTGCTAACAACAACGATAGAGAGAGAAAGGAGACGAAGCGGACATGAGAAACGCAAGAGGAAATGCTTTAGGTATTTATATACAAACACAGGAGAAGAACAGATTGGATTTTGAAGGGTCTCTGTAATTTACAAATAATTCATAATAATACCAAGTTACCAAAATGCCCTAAATGGTTTCACTTTTTGTCTTTAGTGTTACATCGCTGGTCAAACGGCGTTGACAAGATCCGCACGTCCGCCTGCTTTCTGTAACAGTTCCGTTTTACCCATTAACAGGTGAAAACGCCGTTACGTATTAAGGCCGCGTTTGGATGAAAATTATTGACAATGTTTTTCTTTTCTGGTGCCGTTATTTTTTATTTTATTTTAATTTGCAATTGGATCGGAATGTATCTGATTTAGGGGTTAAAATTAAATTGGGGTAGATTTTATTTTATCTATATTAAGTAATTAGGAAACTGACTGTAGTTAAATTTGGGACGAGATGCAGTAATTTCTCCCGATCCACACACGGTGCGTGAGTAGTTGATGCACGTGAGATGCACGCGTTTCATTACAGTAGGTAACAGAATTAAGGCGCCATTCAACGCACTACTATTTAGTCCCTACATGTTTACTATTATAGGTTTATTTATTTATTCCATATTTTCTTGACTTTAAATATTTAATTTTTAATTTAATATTGCTCTGTTTAAACATAAATTTTTAAAGATTTTTGAAATTTTGATTGTCTCATTTTTTATTTATTTATTTATTTTTTATCTCAATTCAATTGTCATGTTTCTATTTTTGACAAATTTTACTAAATTTAAATATACTTAACAAATATAAATCAATCTAATTAGCTTCATAACACATAATATCATATATCACTTCTTACCTATTTAAAAATATTTATTTTTATTTTTTTCCTTAATAAACAAATATTGTTATCTATAATTAAAACTCCCTTTTTTTTATAAAATTAGTTTATTTTAAATTTAAATAAATAAATATATATTTTATTTATTTGTATTATTTGAACTTTTATTCTCTACAAAATAATATCTATATCCATATATTTATTAAAATATAATATTTAAAATATTTAAACACATCTTAAATTTATTTTAATAATATATATTAATTCTTATTTTAAACTTATAATAATAATAATCACATAAAAAAATAATAAAATAATATCTTAATTTAATATTATTAACTAATTAAATCACATTACCTTAAATACAGTATCAGTATCACTAATAAAACGAGTCAACTCAACCGGGACAAAGGAAATATAATATTTATTTATCATTTAGCATATCTCCGTATAGTCCACATGTTTCTTTATTAAATAAATATAATTTCCATAATATTGCTTAAATATTAGTATTTGATTTCATATATAAAGCTATCATTTTAAACATGCATTATTATTATTTTTATTAGTTTTTACACACTTATATTTAATCTATCAAATACAAAATACTATTTCAATCATTTAAATTTAATTTTATTGAGATATTTTAGATATTCAGATTTAGATTTAGTAGATTTATATGTAAATTTGATCTTATTCATAGAATAGATTACTTTTTGTGTTACCTAGATATAGGCTCCTTATTTTGACGATCAATAACACAATCTCATTATTTTTCCCCAAAATTTCTAATAAATTTATTTTTATTCCTTTTAGATTTTCATCAAAAAATTATTTTATTTCATCTTTTTTTTAGTAAACTATTATTTTTATATAATTTACTATAAAGAATAAAAATTAATTATTATTATTATTATTATTTATTTTTACTAAAATTCCTATTCAAATATTTTAATAACATATAAAATATTATATTTAATAAACGTGTAAACAATAAATATTTTTATTATTTATTGATAGAGTATATTTTCTAGGGTATGTTTTTTATTTTTTTTTAGTGGAGTTTTCTCAAATTTTACTATTTAAATTTTGCATTTTTTAAAAAAATATATTTTTTTTCTTTTACTAAATATTTTATCAAACATTATTTGTTAGCCCTATATAGGTCATGTCTACATATATATTTTTATTATATTTTAATAATATTCATCAATAATATATATGTTTAAAAAATATAATCTCAATTATTTTTTACAATGATCTTTGTTTATTTATTTATTTATTTATTTTAAATAAAAAGAATTATATCAAAAACAAAAATTTTATGCAAGACAATATATCTAACACTAGTTATTGATATTTTTATTATACTTCCTCTGTCCACGTACAATGTTTACATATTTTTATTTTGAAACGTTCTATTATAAAGTTAATATTTCATTAAATATCTTACTTCTTTCCACAAATATCCTTACTTTACATCACATCATTACTTTTTACACAAAAAAAAGTAAGGACAAAAATGTCATTACATTACTTTTAACTACTCACTATAATTAAAATATTGTTATTTCTTAAACACCGTGTCAAAAGTAAATATAAACTTTGTAAGTAGACGGATGGAGTATTTTTTAGTGTTTGTTCCGCTACTGTTTTGAGTTTTTGAAATTTTTGTTGTTTGATATTGAAAATTATAAAAAGTTTAGAGAGATTTGTGATGTTTTCTTTAGTGAAGTAATTTGTAGGTGTGTTTGTTTTGTATTTCAAACAAAAAATAATATTATTAAATTTGTTTGATTCTCAATAAAAGTATATTATACCCTTTTACAAAAAAATTTATACTTCTTTCGTCCACTTTAAAGTTTATATTTGCTTTGTACGTGTTGATATTTGAATATTAATTATTATATAAAAATATAGTACAAATTAAAAATGACAAAATTATTTCTATTAGTGTCTTATAATACAAATATAATGACATTTGTATAGAAATATAATGATATTTTTAACGTTAAGTATAATGACATAGAAAGTAAATATAAACTTTCAAAGTAGACGGATGGAGTATTATTTATGAAATAAAAAAGTATTTTTATTAAAAATATGAATAATATTAAGCATTTTGTCCTTATAATTCACAATAAAATAAACTTTGGGTGTGTCTGGTATAGAGAAATGATGCCAGAGAAATAAAAATGGTCTCATTCCTCTTGTTTGTTTGAATCAGATAAATGAACTTGAGAAATAAATTATTTTCATTTCTTTTTTTTTTTTATTTTTTTCCATACGCAAAGAATAAAGAGAAATAATATTACAATATATATATTTTTTTTTATCTTTTTGTACTATTTATTTTTTATAATTTTTTAATATTATATTATTTCAATTTTATAAAAATCAAATTAAAGTAGTTAATTTTTACGTTTTTTTAAGAAATTGTACGAAAATATAATTTTAAAAAATATTGTATATAATTTATAATTTTTTTAAAAAAAGTCACCAAAAATATTTTTCATGAATTCACATTCGTTAAAACTCTTTTTTTTTTTAATCCGATTAATCATTTATTCTGTTTTACATTTCTTTTATATTTTTTAATTGAATTCTCTCTTTTACCAAATAGAAGAATTAATTTTCATTTTCTACTCAATTTCATTTCTCTCCAATTACATTCTCTAATCTCATTATCTGCAATTTCATTCTCTATATCAAACGTCCGCTTACAAAGCACAAACATAGAAACGTATTAAATGTGATTAAAGTTCTCATGTTTTAAAGTCGATGTCCGATCACATTCTAGACATTTTATCTTAGTGGTTGTATATCTCATAAATAGAACTCTTAGTTTTTTTCTTGGAAACAAAAGTCCATTTGAACTTGTCCATAGTGATTAAACCTGATTTACCTGCACTAAAAGCATTTGGATGTTTGTGTTATGATGTTGATTTAAATCCTTTAGATAAATTATGTCTTCATGATATTAAGTATTGTTTCATTATGATACGCTAAAAATAAGAAGGGGTATAAGATTTTGGACCTAAATACTCACATTCACATTCACATTGTCTTTGTCTCGTGTAATGTTACTTTTCATATGTCAATCTTTCTGTTCATCTCTATTGAAGCAACATAACTTCCTATTAAGAGCAGTCATTCTATCTCAAAAGCCGTCTATGATGATTATTTTCAAATTTGTGAAGACAATCATAGGGAGACATAATTGAATGAAGCCCAAGATGTTTTCTTGGGCTAGCAACCGGATGTCTTCCATGATAGTAACACAACTGAATATTATGACAATAATATTATCACATAAATGGTTCCTTTAAAACTTCAGGCTGGTCATGGTAGACGTCAATTGACAAGTTCTTACTTGAGAGGTTATCAAGTCTCCATTAGGAGTGCCTCTGTGTAATATCGTCTCCATTATTTATGTCATATTCTTGATTTAATTTACAGGAGCAACTTGTGTCTCTTCGCAAACTTAGATAAATTGGTTGAGCCTCAAACAGTGCGGGAAGCTCTTTTTGACCCTAAATGGAAGAAAACAATGGATTCGGAAATAAAAGTTGTCGTAGAAAATAATACATAGGTCTAGTGTGACTTTCCACAAGATAGAAAACATGTAAAATGCAAATAGGAGCTTAATATAAAATAAAATTATGATGGTAGTATTGAAAAGTACAAGAGTTGTCTTGTTTGCAAAGGTTTCAGTCAAAAGGAAGCTCTGGATTATTTTGAAACCCTCTCACCTGTTGTCAAAATGGTGATTGTCTGTTATGTCTTATCTCTTGTTGTGAATCGTGGTTGAAAAGTAATTCAACTTGATGTGAATAATATTTTTTTCTACAAACACTTTTGTAAAACAGTATATATGTCACCCCTAGAAGGGTACACAAAAATGTTCAAAAATAAAATTTGTCTCATTCAGGAGTCTCTCTACAAACTTAAGCATGTCTTAGACAGTGGAATATTAAGTTAAAGTCTGTTATAAATGAATTTGGGTTTAAACAATTCCTGCATCACTACTCCATATTCACTAGAACATAAAACAAACTGACTGTTGTAGCTTTTGTGTATGTAGATGATATTATTATGTCTTGGAATGACTTGTAAAAAATTAAACAGTTTAAAAATTATTGGATGAAAAACTCAAAATAAAAGACCTTAGTACAATTCATTATTTCTTGGGTATAA